ATTTAAAAAGTTACCATTCTGATTTTGTTCAAGCCAAAGATATGATTTATTTAACCGAATAAGACTAAGTGGTCATGGTTTTAGCAAAAATGCAGAAGCATTAGCTTAACTCTCATTATGGTAAGCGTTTATTTTTTGCACTCTATACTTAAAACGCCCAAGAGGTTTAAAGCTTAATGGCTGATATTACCTTTTATTATCGCTATTCATGATTTTTATTGCGTCTTGGTAGAGAGGAATAATATATTTTCTCTAGCCTCTTTTTGCTTCATACGTAGGAAAGAATGGGTTTACAAACACAACCTCAATCAAGCTGGACATTAGGAAAAGCGGAAAAGAGAAGTCTCCTAGGCTCAGGAGGAGCAGGAACTTGCAACTCTGCCACTTACCCATCTGAGACATAAGACGACTTCTACAGGAAGCCACCTTATTACAGATAGTTCCCTCATCCCACCCACTTAATTTATACTAACTATTGTTAGATAAATTCTTTAATGGACAATATGCTTTAACTGAGTGTAATCAATTAAGAAAAAATATCCAATGTACTCAGCCCTACTATGAAACTAATTTATAGCTTTCATAGGAAAGATATAACCCAATTTTAGCCCAGGAATATGGGGAGAGGGGAGAGGGAGAGGAGTGGAGGGAGGAGGGTGGGGAGAGGGAGGGTGATTGGTGGGATTACAACTATGGTTCATCCTATAAGGGTACATGCGAATCTCTCTAAATGTAGAATATAAGTGTCTTAACACAATAACTAAGAAAAAGACATGAAGGCTATGTTAACCAGTTGGATGAAAGTATTTCAAATTGTATATAGAAACAGTACACTATTCCCCATGATAGTATTAATGTACACAGCTATGATTTAATAAAAAACAAAAACAAACAAATATATTGCCAAAGAAAGGGCATGTGCATATGTGTGTTATTTAAAACATTAGTAGTGAAAGACTAGCCAACTAACAATGACGAACAACTCAAAAATCTACTATAGTCAAATTTAAGCTGGAAAAAAAAAAACAGAGAAAAAAATTATCCTAGAGTTAGGAGTGACTTTCATAGAGAGGAAGGAAATGAGTGGGCAGAGCTACCATGGGGGGGGGGGGAAATAAAAGAAAGAAACACATTCCAAGTCCATTTTACTCACACTTATTAGGAAAATATGCAATTTAGAAAAAGGCTAGAGCAGAGGCCATAAAGAGCTTAGAGGGATACAGACTGGCCAGGGAGGCATAAGATGGCTACAATCCACATCATAGAGAGATTTCAGTAGTTGAAACAAAGGGGTAAAAGTTGGCATTAATTAGTATCTACAATGTGTCAAGAAAAAAAAGTGTGTGTACTTTTATACATCTATATAGAGGCTATTTTCACATTTTATACCAAAATGATTATTACATGGCAGGTATTATCAACCTTAATTTACAATTAGAAAAACTCAGACTTGGAAAGTGGCATAGTTGGACTGAGGTCTACATGTACTGAGTGTTATTCCCATTTTCCATATGGAGATAAGAACAGGGATGACAGAAGTATACCAGGTGAAACTTATGATATCTTTGAATGCAGAAGTAAGAGAGGCAGAAAATTGATCATTTTTCATAAGTATTTCATGTTTGAGCTAACTAGAATACATTTCTACTCAAGGAATCAGGAGTAAAAAATTACATCAATTATATTCCTTTGCATGTCTCCAAGAGTTCCTTTCCACAGAAATATTAATTTTAAAAAATATAGCTCAAAATGTGCTGCTTGACCAAGTGAATGTATCGACTTGACTGTATGGACTTAGGAATAGGTTCTGGGCGGCATGTAACACAGATGCTGGAGAAATACGTCTCCCAACATGAACCTTACCCCATGTTCCTTCCTAGAAAAATCCCACAGTTAGACATGCATAAGGATTTTTATTAGAATGTAAATACCCACACAATTCTATAGTCAGTTTTTGTCTAGGAAAACTATCTTCTGTCTCTGAAAGAAGCATTTGATAGTAGAGAGGGGGCATAAATACAGACGGAGTGTGGGGAGAAGAAAAAGAGGTGGGGATGCTCCAGACCTTGCTGTTCTACTCAGAGCACATTCTGATACGCCACCTCGCAAAAGGACACCGTGGGGCTTCTAACTGACGGCCTTACATTTGTAAAAGCAACAAGGTTGAACTTTTACAAGTAGTCAGTTACATGAAAGTGAAAATGGTGAAAAGCCCTGAAGGGTCGGTGATGACATTGGCTGCCTACACGTGGTATTTCACCTTCCGATGTAATGTTGCCTCTTTATCTTGCATAAATAATATGACTTCTCATTATGCCACTCTCTGTGTAAAATTACTTATACCTGAGGGGCAAAAAAGCAATTCTCATTCTAATTCATTTTGCCAATTTGACAGTGACATCAAAGAGCAGGAAGTTGTCTGTGAGTAATGACACTGCTCATTTGTTTAAATGTCAGACTGAAACCTCATCAACTTTCACAGAATCTGTCAGTAAAGAATGGGTTTCAGTTCAGCCAGAGAGGATCATTCCCGAGGACAACAGCTGTCAGTTTCTTGAGTGCAGAGTGCTTTGAGTAATTTTTTTTTTTTTAAGCTGAATGGAATAGGCCATTTCAGCACTTGGGGCTGTGGACAGTGCTGTCTCCTTGACATTATCAAAGAAGTAGATGTAACATAATGGTCTTTCCTTCTTGAGACTAAACCCCCCCTAGGTTAGCTAACATGTATCACTACACTATACAATTAGGAAATAAAGACTATGTATTACCAGATCTGTGCAGAAAAAAAAAAAAAAAAACGAAATAACAGCAGCAAAGAATAGCATATTTTATCACAAAGATTAAGCCTGAAATAAAATTAGGCAAGTCACATAGCTATGGTCCATAGCTATTCCTGCAAAAATGTGATTTTTTTACTGCAAAGCAACTGCATTCTTCTCTAGACAAGTTTTTGGTGGATAGAATGACAGTTCCATTAACCCTTCATTGTACTTTATTTGCAGGGGAGGATAACAGAACATATCCAATATGCTTGCAGACATCTATTCTCTATATGCTTTCTGGCTCTAGAGTAGAATAACAATGGAAAATTCTGGATCTGAGGTCAGAGAATCTATTCTCTATATGCTTTCTGGCTCTAGAGTAGAATAACAATGGAAAATCCTGGATCTGAGGTCAGAAGAAATGGAAGTCAATTTCAATCATGTTCCCTATTAAGTCACTTCATTTCTCTAAATCTTGTTTCTTCTTCTGTCCCATATGCGGATATTTTTGATGTTTAAGTGAGAGAGCGTATATAAACGTATATGGCATACAGTAGGTATTCAAATAGATGCTCAATTTTGATTATTCACTTTGTAAGTGTTGGCATAATGCAGAAAATATTTAGTATCCATAGGTCTTAATAGTTGTAACCCTAAGGATGGATGACAAGAAGGCGAAAAGCAAAAACAGGGGGGACATTATTATCACAGAAATATCCTTATAATAAGAGCCCTACTCATGTGCATTGTCACTGTCATCTGCTTTCCAGAATCCCAAGCACAGTCTCTTTATTTTTACTTTTAAAAAAATTAGCAAAGGGAAAACAGCCTAAAATAATACAGAAATAGTAAACTACAGTTCTCAGAGGTTTCTTGTCTCTTCAAGTAACGTTCTACTAACTCTCTGGAGAATTCCTCTCATTCACATACTAGCGGCTATTCTGCTAGCTGAATTGGTGAGAGACTACTTTGAAAGCTTCCTTACCCAGAGCAACACACTTAAGAGAGAAAGTTAAAAAAAAAAAAATAGATTTTGAAACCCCCGTCAAGTTCTTTACCATTTCCCCTGCAGCTACAAATTCTTTGCTTTTGGCTTCAAAGCTTCCCAGCCTAACTTAACCTCACTCACTTCCTTCCCTTTTTATAACTGAAAGCAAGAACGTCTTCCCCTAGCCTCCCGCCGCCTGTCAGTTTCCACGGCGACTTTCTCCACACTGCCCTCTGCAGGTGAAAGGCCTCCCCGCCTCCCACTCTCCATTCATCAAGGTGCACTCGTCTTCCATTCACAATTCATTCTAAGTTGACCCTCCCTTCCAAAGCTTCTTTTCTTGAAGTGGGTTTCCCTCCTCCTCTAATACACTCTGTTATCACAGTCACCATAAAGCCACCTCCCACCTCCTCCCTAACCTTCAGAAATTGGGGGCAAGGGGAGAGGGGCGAGGAAAGGTGTTTGCATACAGATTTAGCCAGGAATAGAGAGAGTTTAGCATTAAGCTTAATCCTGTCTTTGAAAATGAAACAAAAGACAGTTGATACAAAATATTTCCAGAGCCTGGAAATAAGCACGCTTTGAAGAAAGAAAAAAAAAAAATCCGGCTGAAGGGGCGAATGAATGAATGGATGGGTGGGTGACTGAGCTCCTGGGGTACTTTTCCCCACGCCCCTCCTTCTCCTTGCTGCTGGCATGGTTCCTGCTTAACTCAGCTCCGGCGAGTGAGTGCGCTTCCCTGCTTGGCTTCTGTCTCCACTGCCTGCCTCCACATTACCTCTTGACTGGAGCCTAAACCTCCTTGCCAAAGGGCATGCCACCTAGTTCCCAAATGCTTTGTGACTTCAGCAGCCTCACAGAGCTTGCTCCTTCGGGGCGCAGCTCCGCGTTCTGCCAGCTCTACCGCTCCCCCACTCCCCGAGCCCCCCAGCCGCGTTGCACTCAAGGCTGACTGATGCCCCCACACTCAGCAAAATCCACCTGACGACCCCGCGCCTCCCCTTCCCCTGCGCTTGTAACCTGGGTGTTCAAAAAAGAAACGCCCTTTTCCTTTTCTCCCTGCAGAAAAAAAAGGAATAACCATTCTAGGGCTCGGTCCTGTTAAAATCAGAAAACTTTTCATGTTTTTTTTATTAGGAAACCCCGCTGGAGAGAGCAGGGAAGCTCTTTGTTTGCATGCCAAGCGGAGGGAGGGGTCTTCAGAGCCTTTGCAGCCCGGGGCAGAGGGGAAGTGACAGCCCTCGACTCACCCAGGACGTTCCCAATGAGAGCCACGACGAACACGATGATGTACCCGGCGATCAGGACCCACTCATATTCCTTCGGGTGCAGGTATTCCCTCCACAGGTACCGCAGGAATTCCTCGTCGTCATAGTCGGTGGGGTTTAAAAAGGGCTCTTGAGTTTCATTCAGCTCCAAGGCAGATGACCAGTTGCGACAAGGGGGGGAGTCCTCCAATTTGGTGCCGGACATCACGGGCTGGAGTCCGGTTCGGCTCAGTGCTGCAGGCTGCTCCTCGCCTGCCCCATGAGCACTGGGGATTCGCGCTGGGAAAGGCTGCGCGGAGCGGCGACCAGGGGCTCCGGAGCAGAAAATGACGTGAAAAGTTCCCGAGCCAATGCCTCGGGACTCGCACGCCGGCAACTTCTGCGGCGGCTGGGCTGTGGTTGCAGGAGATTTTGCACCGAGCAGACAGGCGGCTGAGAACTCGGGACCCGGCACCGGAGGCTGCAGCAATGACACCAGAGGAGGAAGCCACCTCAGGTTTAGCTTAAGCTCGATCACTCCTCATTCCAGCAGAGTCCGCAGCCCACAGCCTCCTCCCGCGCTGAGGGAGAGCTGAAGCTGAAGGAAAAAAAAAGTCATGAAAATTAATTTCACCTGTTTCTTTGTGGGTTCAATCTCTTCTTCTACTTTTTTCTCTATTTTCATGTTCAGTTTCTATGAACCATACCTGAACATGGGAGTCTGTGGACAGGACGCGAAGGTCAGCACATGGTTAATTCAAGACATGATGCATTTGCCTTTGTAATGCAAATATAAAAATCTAAGGCGGAGCCAGTGTGTTCTCCAAACAGAACACTGCAAAAAGTCATTTCAGGCAAATATTTCAACATTTAATATTTGGCAACTTGGCCCTTGCTGAGTCTTTAATGCATCTCCTTATTCCTCGTCTCAAAATTGGGGGATGAGACCATTTTTGACAATGCCCCAAATGTACCCATTTTGAAGGGTAATATACCATTTTTGAAGAGTATATTTAGCGGGAATTTATGCAACGGAAACTGTCATATGAAATAAAGCAGCCAATCCTTGAAGGACGCTAAGGATTATGAATATGATCATAGTGTTGTCAAGCAAAAGAGACCAGCACTATATTAAACAGTCTTAAACAGATTCCCTGCAGGATATAATAACATAAGCAACACGCCCTCTCTGGTGGATACATCCACATGGTCTTTCGTCTCTGATTCTGGGCTGATGTCACCCGCTAGCCTCTCACGAATTGTTCTCTGAGAATCAGTGTTCTGGGATGTGTCACATATGAGTGCACGATCCTTTCCTTCTTAATAACCATGACAGAAACATTGCATTTGATTAATTACAACCTTGGATTTGTGAAGGGAGTGGGAATCATCTAGCCTGAACTCCGAATTAATAATAGAAGCCTCCTAATAATATTGCCGCCAGGTCCACATCCAGCTTGGATATAACCATCACAGTTCCCTACCTTCACCGTGGCAGGACTTCTGTAAAGGTGAGGAAATCATTTGCTAGTGATTAAACCAAGGGTTGAAACCACGAGTTGCCCTCCGGAGTCTGTTACCTATGTTACCTGTTTGCATCTTGGGGCTACCCAGAGTAAATCTTCTACAAGACAATCCTTCATATATTCTAAATAAGCCCCCTAGCCTCCATCCCACTTGCCATGATCCTTATGTGTAATTTTCCAATTTGTTCTACTGATTTTCAAATCACACTATTTCCTTGTCAATAGTCGCTTGGTTTACGTTTGTCAATATCTTGCAAAATATGCAACTGAGGGGAAATATGGCAATCTGGATTGGATCACGTCAGCACAAAAGGTACACTATTCTTTGGATGCAACCAATATTTGCCTCTAATTATTTTTTCAATAGTACTTTATAGTTTATAAAATTCTCTCATATACATTATTTTAAAATCCCTGAGGAGCTTGGGGATTTTATGCTTGTTTTGTGAATAAGGAGACTGTTCCTAGAGAAATTAAATGATTTACCAAAGATCAAGTGACTAACAAATAGTAAAACTATCCAGTCCTTTCTTCTGATCACAATCAAGGGCTTCTATTATTCTACAGAGGTTATATTTCGTAAGAAATACTATTGGTATATTTTCCCTATCTGCAGTATTAAAATTTATTTTTAAGAGAAAGGAATGTATGGACTTTTTTAAAACCAGTATTTACTGACTGCTCTTATTCTAGTCTCAGTGATGCAAGTTAATCAAGTTGTTGTTTTTTGTGCATAGGAAACAAATCACCAAGTAAATACAGAAAAATTTTAGGAACGAATAGATGCGAGGATGGAAACCAAACAGGGCAAAGTGATGGAGAGGGAAGGACGTAGTGAGTGGGAAAGAAGGCCTCTGTGAAGAGATCATTTATAAGTAGAATATCCAAATTTTGTATGCGGGTATTAATTTAACTTTGTTAATTTGAAGCTTAAACAGATCGTCTTAAGTGCTAACCCTATTATCTCTCTAGACCTGTTGTCACCAGTAAACTTAACAAGCAGAACTTCTATGGCTTCATTCAACTTCATTGGTACAAATCTGCTACCTCTATGCCGTAATGCGATATCTCTCTCTAGCTTATCAATTAACATCTGCATTTTCCTCTTCCAATGACAATTCTTTTCAAAATGAGAAAGGTTATTGCAACTTTAGCTCACATCTGTATTAATTAATGCCTACAAATTCCTGGTCATTGGCAATCTATAAATATGGACCCAGTAGTCAGTGCCATTCGCTTTTATTTTGTGGCCCTTCAACTTACCTTAACTTCACTATTTTTTTAAATCTTCTACTTGCAATTAATCATCACTGCTTGTTGAAGTTCTAAATAAAAAATTAAAGGAAAATAATTTCAAATTTTTATTCGGATATCTGCTTTTGTTGTGGCGAGCCTGGGTTTATCTTGATTCTTCAAACATTTCATTTTCTTCTATCTATGAATTACCAGGTACTTTGTTTTAAATATGTGGTACTCCAGCGACCTACAAACATTTCATGTAAATCTTCTCATTACTTTTTTGGATGCACATTTGAAATGATAAATATCATGATACTCATTTTGGATGAGATCTACTTCATTAGATCTTTTGATATATATTAAGACATTAGAAAATAATTTAAGTTTTTAGGTATTATCATTTTCTTCAATTCAAATTCTTTTTAGTGAATTGAGGGAAAAGGAGTCAACTCAGATCAAAAGACACTAAAACCTGAAATTTACCTTGGAAACAAAAACAATGTAATCTAAACATTTGTACCTTCATCTTAGTGTGAACAAAAAATAAAATAAAACAAAAACAACTACAGAAAGTTCCAAATTTGTCCTGTGATGTCCTCATAAGATCATTATTAGAATTAAATGAACTGATATTTTTTGAAGAGTACCTGGTAGATAGAAAGTAATCTAAAAATATTTGCTAAACAACATTTTAAAATATATGTAGTACGATCTCCTAGTGTGAATATTATTTTCTATACGTAATAGAAAATAATTACTCTGTTAATATTTTTTAAAAGAAAAGTAGCTCATGATATTCTGAATAATTCTGTTTAACTACCTAGATCATTTTTTGTCATCTTAATTTTAATTCTCCATTAACCTCAATATATTAAAAATAGGGCGGAAAAAGAATAAATCTCAAAAAAAATTTTCCTTCTTAACAGTTTTAGCTAGGTTGTTCAGAGATCTTAAATTGATATGGTCTTTCCCAGCTTTTACATTCTTATTCCTGGTAATAGACCACCCTTTGGCAAGCCTATAATAACTATTCAGGTTCATTTTAATAAATATTTGTCAGTATTTACTATGTGTCCGGGAGTTCAGCTAAGAAGCTGGGGATATCAAGATCAATAAGGCTCAATGATGTCTTTATTCATTGGCAAACTGGAAATGTTATGATTTATTGAATAACTCAGTGAGTTTCTAGGGTAGGGAGGTGTGCAAAGTGGCGTGAAAAAGTGTGGAGAAAAGCAGCCTGGAGAAAAGCAGCACGGATGCCTTCCACACAAGGAAAGTCACTCTTGCAGAGATTGCCAAGTAGTTGGGAAAGTTAAGCGGTCAGGCAGGGGAAACAGCACTTGGGGAAGACTTGGCGGTCAGAGAAAGCACGGGGTAAGTAGGCAAAAGCAAGGAGAAGTCAAGCAAGGTGAAGCTGTCATGATTATCCCCAGCAGTGACGTGGAAAATGGTTAGAGGAGGATGAGAAAGATCCTGCTATCAGAAGAAAAGTACCGGTTGTGGGGTTGAGTGGGGTTGGATACTATTCAAAAACATAAGCGTTTAAGTAGCCACCTTCCAGAATGTGGGCATCTTGTTTCATTACTTCATTAAAAAGGCTGACTACAAGGTAACAGTAATTTTAAAGGTTATTTTTGTGTTGGTTTCTCTGTATATTTTGAAGAAGCAGGAAAAAAAAAATGCCCCTACTATTGACTTCCTGATATTTGAGAAGAACTCGCTTTCCTTCCTTCTTTTCTGTTGGAATGAAAATAAAATCAAGTCTGAGCACTCTTGGTAATGACTGTACTGAGCTTATGTATTCCCAAAATAAATGCATTAGCTTCGCAGGAAGTTATCTGACATCTCCAGGCTCCAAACACGACATTTTTTAACAAAATGGCCTTGAGCTAAATCCTTCTGGAAATGTCCTGAATCACAGAGTGTCCAGAAATCTAATAAAGGTGTGTGTGTGGGGGGGCTGATAACATGTGTTACTATCAGGACTCTCAGTGGGTTTCTGAGAATGGGATAACCTCGTGCTGTGGACGACGAGGCCATAGATAATCAAAGCCATTGTCACAAATTACTGCAAAACATGTCTCTCTTTCTTCCTCCCATCTTTCTTTCTATTCCCCTCCTACACCTTCTTTTAATTATGTCTCATCTCAGACAAGCTTCTCTTTGTTCCCTCTTGCCTCTTGTCTTGATATTTCACCTGCTTGGGTCTTTTATTCAACAAATGTAAAAATGAATGTCTGCCTTCCTATCCCCTTTTGAACATAGATGGACACCATTCTTGTCTTGCTCAGTTTTTGTACGTGAAAAGTATAGAGGTAAGTAATTGAATTTAGGAAAGCAAATACTCTCAGGTACATACCTAAAATGGTCTGACAAAGCAAGTCGGAGAGATAACTATTGCAGGAAAGTGGCATCAATAAAGTTATTTGGGAAATACTGTGTAAGGTGAGAAATAGAGAGTAAGGAGTAAGCATATTATGGGAGTTGGGAGAAGGAGCTGGTACCACATTAAAAAGTAATTTTTATGTAAGATAACAAGAAAAGTCAGCAGCTATCAAGTAATCGCATGGGCCAAACTCTATGCCAAACACTAGCTCAACTGACCTTCACAACTCTAGGAGGTAGGTTTCATTAATTATTATTCCAATTTTAAAGATGAAGAAAGTGAGGTACAGAGAGAGTAACTTGCCCTATGTCCTATGATTAGAAAGTGGCAGAG